AGGCAAATATAGTAGCTTTAGTAGCTTAAAATAACTCTTATAGCTGTTTTCTTCTATAGAGTAGATTAGCCTTTATAGCTTATTAGTCTTTTTATTAAATTCCAGCTAGTATTTCTCTCTTAACTTTATTTATATATACAAAGGAATATAGGCATAAAGCATATTAAATCCTTATATATAAAATGCATGCAAACGTTCCTTATAGGCAATTTGTGTGTTGCAGTTGTTTCCCTTGTTTTTATAGGTGTTTTTTATAGTAGGCAGTATCTGCCGCTAATAATTATAAGGCTTAAGTATTTAAGTTGTAATAATTTCTATTTAGCCTTTATTTTAAGCTTAAAGTCTTAATTTATTTTATTAATAATCTTTATAGCTTTAGTATACTCTATAGTAGTCTTTAGCATTTAATAATAATAAAAGCTCTTATAATTATATAAAAAAAAGCCCTAAAATATAAATTCTAAATAACTCTTTTATTACTTATAAATACAGCTACATAAAAAGGCCTCTAAAGGTTGCTACTAAATTTAATAGCCTTTATAATAATAACTTAAAATAATAGCAGTTTTATTAGTCTAAATAACTTATTTCTAGTTATCTAGGGACTAATAATAATAGTTAATATACTATTAAAGATAAGTTACTTTTATAGGCTTTATTAGTCTAAGCTTTCTTATTAGCTTAGTCTTTTAGTACTCTAAAGATTTTAAGGTTTATAATACTATTAAGGTAGAGATTAGTATACTCTTACTGCTAAGCTCTCTAGCAATATTAGTAGTTAACTTCTCTCTTTTATATTAATTAGTGCTAACCTTCTTAATAATTTACTTTTAGACTTCTAGGCTGTTAACTTTACTTAGGCAGCTGCTTTAAGGCTTTAGTTATAAATATCTATCTTTAATCTTTAAGAGCTAGAGGCTAGAGTTAAAGCCTCTTTTAATTGCTTCTTAAATAATTTATTAAATAGACCTCTTAGAGACTTAGAATAGCTATATAATATATAATATTATATAGCTGCTTTTAGCATAAAGAGCTAAGATTGCTGCTTTTGTTGTAAGGCAGATTTAACAGGCTATTTTAGAGCGGTTATTTTAGATAAGGTTAAATTTAGCCGGCAGATTTAGGCAGTTAAGCGAGCAGTTAATTTTAAGCTGCAAATTTATGCTGCAAAAAGGGCTGCGAATTTGTGCTGCAAAAAGAGCTGCAAAAAGAGCTGCAAAAAGAGCTCTAAAGAGCGCTAAAATTAAGGGATTTTTAAAGGAAGGTTTAGAAAAAAGGTCAGCTATAAACTCAGTCAAGTTTGTACTGTAATTTAGTGTAACAATTACCTTGCAGCTGGCGCCCCACTAGGCTCTGTGTAACGTTGTGGAATTATGCAACAGGCAGGATTTTTAACGCGCGCCTCCGTATATATAGGTATTTTTAAGTAGAATAATTACAAGCTAACTAATATAGTATATTAGTACTAGAGCAGACTAAATATAGACTTAAAATGGAACTAATATAGAAAAAGACTTATTAATAAAACTAGGGGAGAAAAGAAGTAGCAGCAGTAAGCGCCTCTCTGTAGAGCTTAGGTAATGTTATAGTCTGAGCTATGCTCGACCTTAATGGAATGAATGCGCTGCAATGGATGCGCTGCACTGCAATGCGCGATAGGGGACATAAGCCCGTGCTAGAGAGAGACCTATATAGTGCCAGATTGAGCAAGCTGTAGGCAGCTTGTTTATTACGTACCCTTTTGGCTCAATGGCCAAGGGGGCTCCAGCATCGCTGGGATGACTGCGGCTGGCACCCGCTATGGCCCAATAGGGCCAGTCCATCACAGGTAAGGATTTTTATGCAAATACTAGAGTTAAAAATAAGTAATATAAAGGTATATATTACTATATAGCATATAGTTGTCTATTGCCTAGCGCTTTAGTATTAAAGTAAAAAGCTAGAATAGAGAGCTAAAATAGTAGCAGAATAGAGAAACAGAGAGGACAGAAAAAGTAGGTCTAGGCAGGCGTTTTAGGTAAAGGTTAGGCAAGTTTAGATTTTAAATATATATTTATTACCCTAGATAGCTGTTATAGCTATATAACTAGTACATCTGCTCCTTATTTCAGGCCTGGAAAACCCTCTAATGGGAAGAAAAACCCTAGATTTTAAATATAGTATTCTATCTAATTTTCTAGAAGAATCTAGCAAGCGCTAAATTAGTAGTTAGGTTAGTAACGACCAGCAAACACCTAGTGTTGTATGTTTTTGTTACTCTTTATTTTTTTTTGCTCTTTCACTTTAACTTTTCTCCATCAAGTCCTCTGTTGGAGGTTACTGTTTGACTGGTAGTGTAAAGCGTGCTCGGCGATGAATCCGAAGAAGGGATGGACGACAGAGCACGTAGGCGCTAATTCCGGTTGCCTCTTATGGTCACTCTTTTGCAGCCTTTGAGTGCAAGATGGTCAAGGAGAACAGTGGCAAGAAACACTATTTGGCTTGCTGTAACATCGCTGGTCGTATGACCTCCAATGAATGCTCTTCCGTAAGCCCGCAATGCCAATTCCATAGCTCGCCCATAATATATACATATACACGATCCAGGCAATGTGTCCTCAGTATCCCGTGGCGGTCCAGCCTATTGATTGGTTGCTGCCGCGTCTGTGTCGCATGGCAGTTGGTGTTGGCGCTCATTGAGCCAATTGCTTCCTGCCCTTGAGTCGCCTCCTGAGCAAAATCTTTCTTCCCGTCCTGCTTCGCATTCTGTACAAGAACCCATGTCTGCGCTTCTGAACCAGTCTCGTATGTCCATTCATCGTGTTTCGAGGGCCGAAGCGCAGCTGCAGTGCACCGAGGGCCGGGTGCGACGAGACCGTGCTTTTTGGGGCAATATCGGCGGATTCGCTGCCGAGAGAGGCATGTGCTGTATCCGATGTCAAGGACGCGAATGCTGGACGGCGGCGGGGGTTGAGCGACGGGCGGAGGGGAGAAAGCGTTGTGAACGTTCTGTCGGCGTTAGCTTTTCGAAAGGAGCTTGCAATTCCGCCGAGAGTGTGCAGACCTGGGTGTTGATGAATTTGACTTCATATGGAGGATAGGTCGCACGAGGCGAGTGATGGACTGCATGTCGCCGAGAGCGAGGCTGCCCCGGCCAGACGGAGGAGTTGTTTTGATGGATTGGAGCGGTGACGGTGATGTCGTTCGCGGTGGCTGTTGACCGGAAATTTAAGCCGTCCTGGTTGGTGATGTTTTCAAGGTGGGTCTGGAGTCACATGTGGCTTTTCTTTGGAAGGAAGGACGGCGTCTGCGAGCTGATTCTACCATTTACCGATTTGTACCTAGGTCCTACTCAATGCTCTTTTTATTCATGCGACTCCTTGAGCCTGGCATCTAATTAGATTATGGCCCTCTTGAAGAATACGGAGAGCGCGGGCTACCGATTGCTTATGCCTTAATAATAAGGGAACTTGATGTACCGCTACCAAAGACGGATTCCGTTGGACGACAACCTGATACATTCGTCACATTATGAGCGTTATGCCACAGGAGATGTAGGGTATGCAAGAAGAGAGAAGACGAGACACATGCCGTCCTATCCTCGAAACTGGGTCGAAGCTTCGCAACAATACCTGCCGTAAGTAGTTGAGGGACTCAAAAACGAAGCAGCTCTGTTCTGCTCCGTCCACCAAATTGCTATATGATGTTGTGCAGTCTGGATCAGCGTATGTGGCAGCGTTGAGTACCAACACCATCGCCCGCCCTTTTCCTCCCTCCAGCTCCTATCTACCCGGGTAAATTGGTCACTCTGCCAACTACATCATCGCCTTTCATCCCAACTACATCATCGCCTTTCATCCACTCGATGAATCTCGCGCCCTTCCAAACTCTCTGCAAAATTCTCTAATCACCTTTTCCTTTCTTAAATTGTATTCGTATCCGCGCTCGCCATGTTTGTTGTGTGCTGAGGCTCGAAGCTATACCTTCTACTATTTCAGCGTGGAGCCTGAAATGCGAGCTCTAATCTATGAACAGCCAGCAATTCCCATCCCAGATAAGCTGCTACGATTTTCTTCAGGCTGGGACGACTGGTTCTTTTTTCTCCGCGTATACAGCGAAGCTCGGAAGGTTTGGCGTGATATAGACCCTGATCAAGAGGAGCGGGAAACTGATAGTTTCCCTGAGCCCCCACCACCGACGATGGAGAAAAGCCTACTTGCTGAGGAAAAGAAATACGACGAAACGCAGACTTTGGCCTCCGTACGGAGCACTCGACCAGCTATACCGTTGTCACACTTGCGAGTTCATCGACTGCCCGCGACGGGGTTCATCATCCTCAAGATGGCTCGCAATGCCTCTATGACGTTTCGTACCTGACCTCTCGATATGCTTCGCCCGAGCTCAGCCATCCGTCAACCAGGCTCTCGGCCTTGCCCCACGGAAGAACCAGCATCACCTCGCCGAAATAATTCACGTCACCAACCTGCTCAAACCCCAGCTTCTCGAACAATCTCCTGCTGCCAGTATTTCCTTCCTGAATCTTGACCATTAATCCAACCATTTCAACCCCTTGTCCAAGGGTTAGACCGCATGCGTACTCCTTCAGTATGGGTTCCATGTTTTTCCGCAAATACATCAGCAAGGCTCGCACTGAGGCGCTTCCGAACCCTTGCCCGCGATGCTCCTTGTTTGCAATCATGACATCGATTTCCCCCCTCAAGGCAACCTTGGCCCTGCGGTCCTGTGACGTTTCCTCGGGCTCATCATCTTGGTAAATAAAGAAGTTAATGTCCCCAATCATGCGGTCACCTGCGTCCACCACTTTCGCCTCGACTGAGGGCCACGTCCGGGCTGCAGCAGGCAGTGCCTGACAGATTATGAATGTGAGCTTTTCGTGGGCAGACCGCCACGATTGCTGGTTCTCGTATTCCTCCTCCAAAGTCAGTGGCTCGGACGCTGTCGCTTCTTGAACTGCCTGCCACCCGAGTTAGATCGCAATGCATGTCGCAGATGCGGTTGTGGCTGGTTAAATACCGGATCTGCCATCCAACTGTGGTATTTCCCGACGTGATGCGCTTCATACGGCACCAACACCACCTTGTTCGTACTGATGCCTAGGCCGTGTCAATCGCTGCAATGCGACGTCATCAGCTTGCTCAACTTGCCTGTGCCGTGATTGACTCTCATTTTCGCAATTGACGCTGTCTGCCCGGATGCGCACGGCCTAAGCCGAAGCGACACAAATTTTTGCAAAGTTGAGTTCGTCAAAGTGGGCAGCTTTTGGGGCCACGTCTACGTCAACAATGGAACCACGGCGTGTTTCCGTAGGGGTTTCGCCATTTAACGCTGCGGTATTCTATTTTGCACCCTATGATCGGTTCTCGTGACAGAAGTTTTCTTACAAAGCTTTGCGGACAGGTCGCTGAATGCGCTCCGTACACAAACAAAAATTACCGACGCTTCAACTTCGCAGCATGCATTTCCGTCAGCATTTTTGTCGCAGCCTCTTCTCCAATTCGAGCCTCCATAGCCAGGAGCTCCGCAACTTGATTCATCCTGTTTTTTGTTTTGTCATAGAACGCCAATCTCAGTTGCTCCATGACCTCGGCGTCGGAGTCATTTGAATTCGGTGTTGGGGGGAAGATCGTGTCCCATTTCTTTAATCTGGCTGTTGGGTCCCCCGTCTTTGCTTCGGTGCCGTAGTCAGCGTCCTTGCCCTTGGACGCATATTTGAGAGTCCGTCTATCTTGCCTGACTGCGAGTTCATCTAATAGCAAGGATGCCTTGGTAGGCATGATTGGTTGCAGCAGGATGCCAGCGATACGTAATGCTTCCGCGCAATTGTAAATAACTAGATTGAGTAATATCCGAATCTGAGGGTCGGACTTCTTGACGAGATTCCATGGTTCAGTGTCGGAGACGTAACGATTTGTCTGCAACTTGTCAGTATTGTTCCAAAAAAAAAAAAAGGCTCGCCCACGTAGGTCAGACCTACCTCACGAAGGAGATCAAAAACTTCGCGAACAGCACCTGCAGTGTTGTACTTCTTCATTTCTTCGGAAAATGCTGGAGTGATCTTCTCCATATGCTCATCCAAGCTGACAAAGAGTTGGTGCGAAGCATGGTCAGATATTCCCTTGAACGCACCATTGCGGAAAGCCGTGACAGCCTCGAGAGTTGACCATTTCGAGGTCACCTTTGGTCGGGCAATCCTGTAAAAGAGGTTGCCAATATTCGCCTGAAGCTCCTTGGCATAAATTGATCCGATCAACTGATTTGAGTAGCTCATGTCCTTAGCAAGGCTTCCGTTTCGCATTAGAAAATACCGCAAAGGGTCAATATCCCAACGTTGCATGGCAAAGAAGGGGTTGACCACATTGCCAAGCGATTTCGACATTTTCCGGTTGGACATTGTCCAATGATTGTGGCATAGCAACTGCTTAGGAAGGGGCAAATCTAGGGCCATGAGGAGGGCTGGCCAGTAGACGGCATGAAATCGCAAGATATCCTTTCCGATGATCTGCACATCCGCGGGCCAGATTCCCATCTCATCAGGTGGAGAATGCCATTTCCTGCCATAGCCTGCCTGAGTGAGGTAATTGATCAAAGCATCGACCCAAACATATATTGTCTGAGTACGATCCTCGGGGTCTGGGATGCCCCAACTTAATCGAGCCGCAGGCCTCGTGATGCACAAATCTTCCAAATGATTTTCGACCCAGTTGCGAACCTCGTTCATCCGATATGTTGGCGTTATCCAATGTGGATTCTCGTCATAGAATTTCAGAAGAGCATCTCTGTATTTAGTCAAGGGGAAAAACCACGTTTCTTCCTTGATCCATTCAACCTCGCTTCCTGTTTCGTCACTCACCATAATCTTCTTCCCTGTTTGAGGTACAATGTCCGGCCGAACTAGGTCCTCTGGATAGAAGCACTCATCGCTGACAGCGTACCACCCTTCATGCGTCCCTTTGTACAGCCCCAAGTTTTCCGGTAGAGTGTGTTTCAGCTTGAGCCAGAATTCGCTGACTGCTTCTTTATGCTCCACCTGCGTCGTTCGTATGAAGGCATCGTAGGAGATATCGCCAGCGGCGGCCAGCTCCCGAAACTTGTTCGAGTTGCTGTCGCAAAATTCCTTGGGCGGTATTCCCTCTTTGGCAGCGGCTCGTTGGATTTTCATGCCGTGCTCGTCAGTTCCTGTCAGAAGAAAAGTTTTCTTGCCCTTGAGTTGCTGCCATCGCTTCAGCACGTCGGCGAGAACCATGGTGTAAAGATGCCCGATATGGGGCGCTGAAGTCCCCCAAAAGTAAGCATACAAGCTTAATCAATGCTCAAGCGAGACTCAAATGTCATCCATACCAGAGTTCACATAGAAAATTGGAGTTGTAATGTAATAGGGCTTGTCCCTCGTTGCAGTCGAAGAGCTGGCGGAGGTGTTCCATCGCGCTTGGGGGGTCCGCTGGGATCCAGAACTTCTGCTGCAGCTGCATTTGAGCGGTGTCAAGAACTTTGAATGGCCTTGGAGTGAGTGTCTGACGGTTCGGGGCGACAATCGTCGCATTTTTTTGTGATGCCTTGCCAATGTCTATCTGGAGAACACAACACAACCTGGTGGTAGAAGAGCAGAGACCAAAGGATATCTAGATACTGTGCGAACTGGGCCGGGCCGACAACGAACCACACAGTACGGAGCGCGGAGAACAGCAGGGTCTTATCCCGCATCCATTCTGCAACGCCATGATCGCGCTTTTGTTTCGCCGACCTAACAATATGCCTCTCCCGGACTCAGACACTCAGGTCAAAGCCTCCAGCGAAGGTAAGACGATACCAAGAAAGCTCAAAGATTCGACATGATTCTTACAGACTTGCACGTCCAGCTGCGGAGACCTTCGTCAGTCACTACTACCAGGCCTTGAACAGTCGATCGACGCTACTTCCCTTCTACATAAATTCCTCATCGCGGTACTCAATTGCTGCCGATATTTCTATCAACGGCTCCGTCCTTGCGGCACCTGCCGATTACACCAAGCTACTAGATGCGCAAGGGCAAGGCGTGCGCTACGAGATAGAATCTCTAGATGCGCACGTTATCAACCCTTCGTCACAGTACGGCGCACCTGAGCATATCCACGATAATAACCGAGTAGAAAAGAATGGTGGCCGAATGACTATTGTGGTCACGACAATGGGAAGAGTTCAATTCGGCAAGGGACGGGAAGCACCTCGGAAAATGTTCAACGAGACCTTCGTGCTAGTACCAAACTGGGATTCTATGGCCAGGAACCCTCCTCGAGGCATCAAACGTTGGCTCATCATGTCGCAAAACTTTCGCGCATTGTAAGCAAGTAAAATGGAGGTGCTCACGATTGAATGGCAAGGGAAATGACGAAGATCTCATATTTGTCCTGGCGCTGGCACTACCGGCTGTCATCTTGGATCAAAGAAGAAAATCACATCTTGTTCTTGCTATGGCGTTCGGTTAATTTGGGCTCTATTCGGAACTTGGGGAGTGGGGGTGCTATTACTTCTTTATTTAAATGAATTTCTATTCTCATTATTGTGCTTCATGTGAAGAGATTGTTAAGTCTAGTGATGGCATGCAGCCGTTCAAGCTGGGCGCCCAACGCTGACCAAATTACGGTGGAGCGTGCAAGAACAATACCTTTTCTCACACCATCCCCGCCAATTTTGACCATTCAAGGCCATCCACGCTACAACCATGCCGCCCAAGGCGAGAGTGGTGACAAAGGCGAGCAATCCGGAGTCCAAAGGTATTTCGGCTGGTTACGGAATATTGTTGCAGCTTGGACTGACGTAAAACTCCAAGCAGCTCCTGAACTAAACCCAGAAACACTGAACGATCGAACTTGTCAGCGCTACTACCAGACGAACCCCGTCCAAAGGCGATTTGAAGAAGCTGGCTTCCCGGGTTTAACTCCCGCGGAGAGAAAAGTTTTTATCTACTCAAATCTCATTCAACCAATCGCCGATCACAAGATCTCTTTGTCTAATAAGACAGAAAGAGATTACTGGAAACAAGTCACGAAAGACGGACTGCCCATTCGCCGCCTTCGACAGGGACACTGCTGGGGCAAGGACAAAACCGGCCGCGACATTGGCACATATCAGCTTGAGAATTTTGAAAGGCGCTCGGTAAAGCAAGCTCGGCTGGCGTCTCTGGACATTCTTCATCACCAGTTCCTTGCCAAACGACGTAAAGCAATCGCTAGGGGCAGAGACGTCTCGAACGAAGAATTGGATGAAGAAAAGACGAGACGGAAAGACATGGCTACCTTGAACAAAGATCTTTATGGGCATAGTGCGGGTTCTATGTCCAACAACCCAGAATGGGACGACGTAATCCCCATACCCTACAGTGAACCCGATGATGCCCTCGCCAAGATTGCCTACCCCGACGACTATGCGGAAGGTATGTACTTTACTTTCCTGAAGCCTGATGAAGCACTCCTGACGTGCCTAGCCACATCGTATCTTCGCGCTGTTATGGCTGCAGACGAGTGCTCCCCCAGATGTCTTCGCCTCACGGAACACGTCATTTCTATGAATCCTGCACACTACACCGTGTGGCTATATCGCTTCAAGATTATTCAGACATTGAATTTGCCCGTCCCTGAAGAGATCGAGTGGCTGAACCAGGTAGCCCTGGAGAACCTAAAGAACTATCAAATATGGCACCACCGCCAGCTTTTGCTAGACTACTACTTCCCAAGCATTGATGGAGATGAAGAAACGATCAAGAACTTGGCAAGGACTGAAACACAGTTTATTAACAGTATGCTTGAAGAAGACACGAAAAACTATCATGTCTGGTCCTTTAGGCAATATTTGGTGAGGAAACTTGGCATGTGGAACGTCGCTGAGCTGGCTGCGACACAAAATTTGATTGAAGACGATGTGCGAATTTTTCTAGTCTTCTCGAACAGTGTTGCCACACCGAATCTACCTGCCACTGCACATGACCCGAAAGTCCCTGGCTCCCTCATCGATAGAGAAATGGACTATGCAAAAGAAAAGATCGCTTTAGCGCCCCAAAACCAATCCAGCTGGAATTACCTCCGAGGAGTGCTTGCCAAGGGTGGCAGAGATCTGTCAGGTGTTCGTGAATTCTCGGAGCAGTTTATATCTAATTTGGGTGCTGATGGCGAGGATGTGAAAAGCTCTCATGCTTTGGATATACTGGTTGACATCTATCGCCAGGCTGGTAACATTAGCAAAGCCAGGCTCTGTCTGCAGAGGCTTTGGGAGAAATGGGATCCAGTACGCGAAGGATATTGGAAGTTTAGAGCGTCTGAACTGGGAGAGGCAATAGAGTAGTGGTGTTGGCATGAATGTGTTTGTTATTGAAGGCTCGCGAGACACATCTGCACTTGTCGAAGCTTAAACATGGGAGCACTTGCGAAGACTTTTTGCAATAATCATAAAAAAAGATTTTGGCAACTTGATGGGAAAATGCTTTACACAGATATCCTTCGTAAGCGCGGGGAGGCTGATCAAGTTCGGGCGTACCGTTCAGGAATTCTGGAGCTCACATGCAGCTCGTTGCCCGCGCGCCTGCCTACGAGCTCCAAGCTCGAAATCAGACAACACATGGACCCCACCAAGGTCGTCATCTGCCGTTCCCACCACCCTCCCGTCTCTCTTCAGCTTGTGCACTTCGCCACAACGGCCACGGAGCTGCCTTTCTAGCCTCGAGGCAACCCAAGATTGCCTCGCGTGGTAAAATTTGGGAAAGAAAGCGCAAATCGCTCTAGCATCGGCGAAACCTATCTTCCTGTGCACATCTTCTTGTCCCGAAAGCTCAGTGGAGTCGACGCTGACCCGTCGTCACACCCGCTGGCATAAGCCCGAGCTGCGAGCATGGCGGCAACCGCTAACATCAACCCGACACCGCAGTCGGTCACAAGCCTTATTTCCAAGCTGGGCGATGCCGATCCGGACTTTCGATTCATGTCCTTGAATGATCTCCTACACGTATTGAACATAGCCAAACCCGATTTTCTTCAACATGACTACAACACGGCAGCTCGAGCGGTTGAAAGCATTATCAAGACGCTCGATGATCAGAACGGTGAAGTGCAAAATATGGCTATTAAATGGTCTGCTTCAAACCACAACTCGTCTCAAAGGAAAAAGCCGTCCAGGTTCTAACAGTCCCTCGCAGTGTCGCGCCCCTTGTCGGCAAAGTCCCCATGGCTATTATTGCGCCCATGATCGACAAGCTATCTTCGATGGTACTGAAGAACTCGGTCGACAATGCCGTCACCTCACTCGCGCTGCGATCTGTGATAATAGCGCTTCCTCGCCCAGTTCCGGGAATCCCTACAACTCATGATGTTCAGCAATCATACGACGCCATTCGACGAGTTCTTATTCCTCGTCTCATCGGTCCGAATGCGGCCACACCAAGTCGACAAACGACCGACATATCGTTACCCGCTGTACCTGCCGGTATGCTGCAAGGAGATGATGCCAATGCTGAAACCGTTGACGTATTGATAGAAGTGGTACGGTGTTTTGGGCCACTTCTTGAACCTGTCGAGGTCGAAGCCATGCAACATGTGGTTATGCAGCTTCTTGAGAGCAGCAGACATTCTTCCGTCGTGAAGAAACGAGCGGTCGTTGCCATTTCTATGCTTGCTGTCTACTTAGCGGACGAGCACCTGCGGGACGTAATTCAAAGACTGGCATCTAGACTCTCTGACCCTGGCACCGGTCCTGTTTCACGACGTCTCTACATCTCCATTGTGTCGAGTATGGCCCGGTCCATCCCTGTTCGATTCGAAGCCCATATTCGGGACACTGCGCCACTGATGCTCAAAGAACTTTCTGAGGAAGAGCTTCAACATCACCTGGAGAAGCTCAATGACGGGGAAGACCTTGGCCTTGAATTCAATGAAGTCCGGGAAGCGGCCCTGGTATCGATTGAGGCGTTCCTGGCTTCCTGCCCCCAAGAAATGCGTCGATACACCGCCGAAGTCATTGCGGCCACACTTCGATACCTCAAGTACGATCCCAACTATGCAGTCAATGAGGAAGATGACGATGTCGACATGGATGACGATGAGGACCAACAAGACGACGATGATGAATATGACGCCGACGATGGATTTGAGGACGACGACGACGATGCCAGTTGGAAAGTCCGTCGCTGTGCCGCCAAAATTCTATACACCCTCATATCAACCCGTGGCAGCGGAGACCTGCTAGATAACGGCGTGTTGTATAGAGACGCTGCTCCTTCCCTAATTAGGCGTATCGATGAACGCGAAGAGAACGTTCGACTGGAGATTATTTCGGCCTTGGCACTTCTGATTCGGAAGACTGGTGAAGGCTTACATGTGGCCAATCTCTCCTCGGACGATTTTGATCCTCCCTTGGCCGTGGCGCCGGCGCCGCTTCACCGCAAGCGCCGGAGACAGAGCAGTGCCGGAACCGCAACGACAATCTCGCAGTTCATGGCGGGCTCCGGTCTCACTTCGCCAGTCCTTGAGAAGGTACCTGCCACCGGCCCTCGCGCAGACTTGGCACAACTTACACCTGGTATAGTGAAGGCATCCATCAAACAACTCAAGGGCAAAACTGTGCCCACAAAACAGTCTGTTATCAATCTTTTGGATGACATTGTGTTGGTGCAGCGGGGCGGCCTGGCTCTTTTTTTCCCAGATCTTATCGGTCCGGTCCTTGATGCTGCAAAGTCCACAGGGCATGGGGCCACAGCTTCATCTTTGGCCTCTGCTGGGGGTTCTGCATCGGCAACATTTAGTACACTTCGCATCGCAACTTTGAGATTGATTAGCGACATCTCGAAGACGCACTCATCGTCGATTCTCCAGCCTTATCTAACGATGATCGTTGCTGGAGTTGCTGCCGCAGTTCATGATCGGTTCTACAAGATTTCGAGCGAGGCCATCAAAACTGCCGAAGAACTTGTGAAAGCCATTACTCCACCGCGTTCCAAAAATTCAGGCTCCAGGTTCATGGCCGAATTGGAATCACTTTATGAAGTCCTTATGGACAAGGGTTCGGCAAACGATGCCGATGCCGAAGTCCGCCAAGGAGCCATTCACGCACTGGGGGTTTTGATCTCGAGGACTTCGGGCGATGGTTCCAGTCTTTTATCTGCAGACAGGCGGATGAAGGCTCTCAACGTATTGCGTGAGAGGCTTAAGAACGAAACCACTCGACTTGCTGCGGTGCGCGCTGTAGATAATGTGGCGGCATTCGCATCTAGCTCTGATGAACTTGAGAAAGGTTGGATTCAGGACGTTGCACTTGAACTCTCAGCCCAACTCCGCAAGGCAAATCGATCTTTGCGAGGCTCAAGTGTTAATGCTTTGAAACATCTCATCTTGTCGAATGCCTCCAAGGATCAGCTTGAGGAGGAGACGGTCAATGGCGTTGTTTCCGCATTAATGCCAGTCGTCACGAACAGCGACACCCATCTACTTGGACCTGCTCTGGTTATACTCGCCAGCCTAACACCATCACACTCCAACATTACCGTTTCCCAACAAATGGTTGCTGCCCTCTGCCAGCTCTTGAAGTCTCATTTTGCGGGAATCGCCCTGGACCAGCTCCTGGAGCTGATGGCCAGGATTGGTGAAAGCGGTGTTGGCCAGCCACTCATGCGCGGGCTACTCAAGGATGTTAGTATCTCCGGAGACCCGTCTGTAGTGGGCAAAGTTATCGGCACATTGCTTGTCACGGGGGACACTTCAGCGGGGGTCTCTGTTGATAGCTTCATCTCTGAGCTGGAGAATAGCTCTAAGAAGGGGGATGGCGCTCGTGTCAGCCTTGCCCTTGCTGTCCTGGGAGAGACTGGTATGCGGCTTGGGCCAGCATCACCAATGAAACCAGACTTGTTCTTGCGCCAGTTTCACTCAGAACCTGACAAAGTATCGCTTGCAGCCGCCATTGCACTTGGCCGCGCTGGATCAGGCAACGCCTCAGAGTTCCTGCCTGTCATTTTGGAAAAGATGCAAGCAGGAGGAAACACTCAGTATCTTCTGATCCAGTCTGTAAAGGAGATTCTTCAATCCATTACTGTCCAATCTGACATACAAGAATATGCCGTTCCTATTTGGAACCAACTACTTCAAGCCTCGGAAATCGCCGACAACAGAGTTGTCTGCGCTGAATGCGTAGGACGATTAGTGATAATCGACCCCGGCTCTTTTATGGCCAAGCTAAAGGTATTCCTTGAACTCTTGTCCGTTTGAGGCGAGGCTTTTTTCATCGCTAATCCGCTCTAGACGCTACTCAAGAACACATCATCAGGCATCCGGGGCATGGCTGTGCAGGCTGTCCGATACACTCTCCCTGAGAGCGAGGAAGCGTTTGATGCCGAGCTGAAGAACTACCTGATCGACATGCTTCTGGTGATGTTGCAAGATACGGACACAGAAATCCGAAGACTGGCCATGTCGACCCTCAACTCTGCGGCACACAACAAGCCAGATCTTATTCTGCCACGTCTTGGTGACCTCGTGCACTTTGTGCTGAGAGAATCCATAATTAAGCCTGAGCTTGTCAAGGAGGTCATGTTAGGCCCGTTTAAACACACCGTAGATGATGGCTTGGAAGTCCGAAAAGTATGGTCGATATGCCCTGCCCCTCTGTCACCCCCCCCCCTTTTTTTTTGTGGTTGGTCCCGCAGTCTGCTAATGATTTCGCAAATCAGAGCGCCTACGAAACCTTGTACGCCCTAATGGAGACCGTGTTTACGCGGATCAATAATGTCGACTTTTATGATCGCGTAATGGCTGGCCTGAAGGACGACAATGATATCCGACAGCTCTGCAACCTCATGGTGTCAAAGCTCATTGTCATAGATCCAGACGAGACAGCTCGGAGACTTGACTCGATTGCAGAAGCATATCGAGGAGTATTATCCGTCAAGCTCAAGGAGAACGCCGTTAAACAAGATGTGGAGAAGCAAGAAGAGGCAAACAAGAGTGTGTTGAGGGTCACGCTATTGCTCGGAGATAAGATGAAGGCCATGACTGGTAGTGCTGGCGCTGTTACTAGCAATGCTGGGGCAGCTGGTATTTGGACCTCATACTGGGAATGGGTCAACAAGGAATTTGACAAGCAGTTGAAGGGCCTGAGGGAGGAGACAAAGGAGCTCCAGTCCCAAATGATGTAATTGAGTACGCATTGCTCATTAAGAGGGAAAAAGCAGGGTGGATTGCTTTCGTAGGCCATACAGAGAAATGATGCATATATGCGTTTAGGCTCGTCCGCACATCTGAGCTTGCTTGATTCCAAGTTTAATATATGTGCAGTTGAAACTTGGGGGTCTTGTTGCCATCGACAGACACCACACTGGTACTGTTAATCTCGTCTCACCCGTTCTTTATCCTGTTCTATGATACTTGGGCTCCAGCTCACTCTTCCACCTCATCTACGTTAGTCTCAGGAGTATCTGTCTTTTCTGACTGTAAGTTTTGATGTGAAGTTTTTGCTCGAACATGCAATTTCCCTTATACCCTCCGCATCGGTGGTACCAAAACCTCCGGCCACTTTGGAAGTGACGAACCCGGACCCGATAATGAGCAGGGCAACATGACCAGCACCACAGACCAAGATAAGGAGAGGTTCCTGACGAAGAACCTGATAGAAGGAAGAGTAGGAAAAAGTACAGACGATTGCAAGACCACGTGCCCACACATAGCGGATGAGAGGGCCCCAGAACAGGGGATCTCCCAATGGCCGTTGCAACCATCTCGTTGATGTCTCGGGGTAGTTGATCCTAACCCCTGGATAGGGGAAATACCTGATGAAGTCCTTGCCACTGAGGAGAGACGACCCGGCACAGCCTCAACGTCGGCCACGACGTCCTCGTAGAAAAGGCCTTGCTTGTCCCTTTCCAAGGCAGTGGACTCTGAAACAAGCTCAGAAAGTATACAATCACCCAAGCTAGCTACATTAGCTACAAAGTACGGACTGGCCAGAAATCCGATATACGGCAGACTCAGCCCGACACTCTTCAAGCGATGACGAATAGAATAGTTGGCAAATACACAGCCTCCACGACACGCGAGGCTCTTGCAAGGTTGAGCTATTGTTGTCTGTAAGCCGTTCCACCAAGTGCCGGTCAGCGGCGATGTCAAATGCCATAAGCACATGGGGTGGCAGACCAGTACGAGAAGCGCTTCACAAAACTGCTCGGACCAAAGATGGTAGTGATTTCCGCCCTCAGTCAGATCTCGTGGCCCCGGAGTCTCATATATTAATCCGCTACGAGGCGAAAGGATCGCCACGGTGCAGGAATGCACGAGGTTGCAAGACAGCTTCCAAAGCCTGAGCAGATTGCGCTCGGCCTGAGATGTGCCTCCAAACCCAAGCTCAGACGACGAACTCCCCCCTGACTTGAGAGCCGAACGATGGCCGTCAGTGTCAGACGCACCTGAGCCGAGGAGCAAGTTGGCGTCGTGAGCCCTTTGCTCATTGAAAGCACTTACAGCGTCTTGCCAACGCCGGAGGAAGTCCTGGACTGCACAATTCAGCGGTGTGGCCTTTGCGAAGTGTGACCACTGACCCTTGGAGGCTGACGAGGTGGAAGCGGGCTCCATTGGAGTTGTGCCTGTGTAGAGGAAAAGTATGAAGTTGCCGGTCAGGCAAGCCCAAGTGTTGAGGATCTCAATAAAGGGTCAAGAGATATTGGAGGGAAGCCGCAGATGGCTGGAACCCTAGGATTCCAAGACATGGCTCCCCTGATATTGTCACATGTCATATCCAACGAGGCACTTCATAGATACCGAGACAAGAAGAGACATGCAAATCTTGCATGTAGGGGAGCTTGTATGTACCGAAATGATGGTACACGCGCTCACTGACTTGGTCTTTGCTGATGACTTTTGAGCTCGCAGATCGCCGGGAAATACTCAAGTTGAGTCCACGATGTTGGCGCAGGACTAGGCACAGGTAATGCATTACACTGCATTGGAACGCTTCAGCATCTATAGGTCCGACTCGCCAGATCACGTCCGCGGCAAGGTCAAGATCAGGTATCGAATGCATCCTACGATCTCCGGACAGATGCGCAACAATGAGTCGACTCCACTGGCATAGACGGCGGCGTGAAGGTTGACCAAGGTATATGGCGTGGCAAGGGCTCGATACAGGGCTCGAAATGGCTCGATTCTACTCAAAACTCATAGCTAGATTCGGGGCCACAAAGGTTATTGATTCATACCGACGGACCTGGGTCCCAACTCTCTACATATATACATGAGCGGTGTACCCTGATATCCTGAGGCATCCGCGGCGGTCGTTGTGCTTGCGAGCTCTGCCTTCCATCATGGCCTCGTGATCATATCGTGTAACTGTTGTTGGCCTCGGCTCAATGGCGTGAGCCGCAGGTCGTTCGCGTTGCAAATGACATGGGCCACCGAAGCGGTTCGGACTGTGAGGCATAATGATGGTTCCTGTCTTCTGCTGAGATTTCACAGCTAGCGAAAGTCATACAGTGCTGGCATGAGAGAAAGCCACGTCCTTTGAGCCAGAGTTGCCTTTGTTGAAGAAGAGTTGGCTCGCTAATGGACTGAGGAGCACGATTTGAACACGGGCAAGAACTACTTGTAGTGGCCACCGTTCAACTCCAGTATTCAGTGACGTTGGAATCCCATCGCCAAAGAGTTTGCTGTCCAGCTTGCCCATTTAGGTTGGCAACAAGGGGCTTGTTCCCTACGTGCGATTTTCTGCCTGACCCCCGTGCGTGGCCTCTCTTTGCACAGCCGCACTCTGTGCTACCGACAGTGGTATTCCAGCCCCCGGTTGGCTTTGCCTAAGACCTTGCGAAGGTTATAAGAAGGGCTGTGAAATCTAGATATTAGTGCTCTGGCTGTCCATGCCTGGGACAAACACGAGCTGCCACAGATCCCGATTCACGTTGGCCAAGAAGAGAGCTTATATAATAAACGTGTGCTGGTCGGAGATGTGCCGCTCGCCGGGGCCTGCTCGCGAGGCCAAAGTCGTTTCTATAGTCTGCCTGCGTTGAGAATCTTGACCAGGGTGCTGCGTGTAATGGATGTACGTTGGCAGTAGTATATTCTTGTGCGGACAAAGGTATTGTTGGGTACAAGTCCGACCCGGCTGCGCACATGTTTGTGACCGCATACGGAGCAGATGCATAGGCGAACCAACGACATGTAGTTGCTTTTTGCTTCATCTCTTCTACCGTCCTGCACAGCAGTAACCGTTTTCCCTGTATTTACTGACATCTCTTTGTCTGGCGAGTTTTTTTCAGCCCGTCGAGTGCATCTGGCCATGTTCGGTCACATAAACACAGAGAAGGATTGCAACAAGTGGTTTAGAAAGAGAAAAAGGCGCGGCATCCAATAGGGTAAGTCAACATATATAATCTCTGTCTGGAGAAGAAAGGAAGCGGCTACCTAGGTATGGCTCGCGGTCACGATGTTTACACGAACAAGTCACAGGTCATAGCACGTGCTATGGCCCAATCGGGCTAGTCCGTAACACTCTTCAAGATTTTGTCTCTAATAATTGTGGCCATTCCAACTCAGTTCCAGGTGAAACTGCCGAGGCGTTTCTGTTTAGGAGCGCGTTGACGCATGCTGAAATCGAGTCTGTTCTCGTGTCGCTGGCCTTTATGCTCGTCTTCTCTTGCTGGCCTTGTAAGTCTATTCTGCTCTGGTTGTCTGGCGATCAAGTCCCTGACTCACGTGTGTTCCGGCGCCTGCCCTACAATCATCTCTGCTCAATGCCGCATCGAATCATGGCAAGGAGTTGCGTCCAATCTGTCATCGCAATCACAGGGAGTTTCAATAGATCCTCCACGGTCAGCTTCTCGCTGAGGTGGCATTTGAAGAAATGACCAAGCACCCTCTGGATGTTGTTCAGTCTGATGCGTCTGAGTGACTATGGGATCCTGTTAGATCTCTCCCTCGTCAGCGGTGGCGTTGTGTTAGGTTCTGGACAGAGTCGGACCGAGAGATCGGAGTGCTGTCGGGACGAGCGCCTTTGACCACGAGGCGTCGGCCAGTCGGCCTCGCCGTCAACAGCCCGAGACGGACAGTACGAGCACGAGTCATCTTGGCACCATCACATGTTTCGGAAAACGCAGTGTATTGCCCATCTTATATAGACGATAGGCGCTTGCACTGCTCAATGGGTAACAGTCCGGCAAGATGGGAGCAGCATGGTCCACCGCTATTCCTGCACGATGCCTCGGTCTTTGATACACTTCCGTCTCTACATATTGGTAGGCCGCGCGCAAAGAGGTCAGCAAACTCGCATGCCGTACACCTCGTCTGACCATATACATGCACCTTGCAGCCTATACCATTCATGCTGTACTCACTTGGGTAAACGACGCGAACTTCACTCCCAGAGCATGTACAGTTTGTGTCTGTCTCAATCGACAAGCTTGCCAAGGTGCGTGGTCGGATTCGCAAGCCCATGTTTAGTTGCAAGGAACGTCGTCTTTCATGTAGTCTTATGACTGGTATGGCATGAACGGGCGAGACGGGATAACGTGAGTCTCTTGCTACTTCACATGAAACAGGACATTGCCAGCTACAACTGGGAAAAGACTCGACTCTCGTCGCCGTAGTTACAAGAGTTTATCCACCTCGGAAAGGGTGAATTTTCCAGAGACCGATTGGTGACCCTTCGGAATTCAGGCGACATTAGAGTTCAGCAGAAAACACTTGAGTGGTATACCCGCATCACATGGGACAAGAGAGCATCGACCCGGTCACTTTAGGGTCTCATCTTCCGGCGCGGGCTCAATGGTTCCTTGTCGGTAGGTTTTCACAGTCATTAGTAATAGTGCAAATGGTCGTTCGTGTGAAACTAGCCCGTCGTCTGCGGTATCCCAGCAGATCCGATGACATTTCTCATTCGTTGTGGTTACAGATGAGTCGATTCATCAGGGTCAGGACCCGAGCTTCTCTCCGTGTCCGTCGGGCCAATGCTAGTCTTCGAGGCCCATCGGTGAGGCGGGCCGCCTACGACCGTCGGCCACTAGATGTTTCCCTGGACGACCTTTGCCAGATACTCGAAGCAGACAGTTTCGATCAAGGATGCTTAGCACCCAAGCGATCTTAGTGGATCGCCATCATCGCGACGTCATGGCCAGGCACCCAGCAGCACAGGTCAAAGGCTGGTGGTGTGGAGCTTGCCGTCATGCGGACAGGGCCTGGCTGGGTGCGAGTGCGCCAGTTATTATTATCATGTGAAAATTCTCCAGGAGTCGACGTTTGATATCCAGCCCCACGACGACAATCACATGTTGGCGACAAGGCTGCAGGGAACAAGACGTGCAAAACTAAATTTAGCATTTATTACCATGTTCTAGAACACAACCATGAAGAGGAAACGGCCAAGCGGGTATTATACATTATGCGTGAGCGGATTGCGGGTGCCCAGACTCCGCGGTGCTTGCAAATCAGCACAAAAATCTGTCCGAGCTCCAAGCAGTTTACACTACGCTGGGGCTGCCATGTTTCTCTCGCTGGCGATAATGATTCCCAACATCAGCGTCCTCCTGTCGGCCCTCACGGCGAATGACCCAAACATTGAGTGTGGATGATGCCATCCAAAGGATAGCAGCCGTCAATGAAAAGGCAATGTCCGCCTTGAACTTGCCGCACTGCTGATCGAACGGCGACACGTCCATCCATTCAAAAACCCATTCGCACGGAAACCCAGAGAACTATCATGTATTCCGAATGTAAGCCGGGGATGCTTGAGGTCGGACGGGGATTTCGCAACTCACTTGGAAAAGCAAGCCAAAAGTTGCCCACCACACCAAGCTCAAGATGATGTCCAAGGGTAGCTGGATAAAGGCGTCGAGGTAAGGCAGTAGGAAGACGATGGCGACCAGCAATGATAGACAAGCAGCCACTTCGACGTATATAAAACGTCCAAGATCCCAGGTGCTAGCGTTTGACTGGTTGAGGAAGTAGCCCGTGATGCCCGCAACTATGGCTGCAGCGGCGACCTGCAGGACTCTGAGAGTACTGGCAACGATGCGAGGGAGCTCCATGATGACAAGTCCTGAAGAATTCTGTTCTTGATGCCACGGGAAGTCAACAGGCGGATAACCGAGGTGAGGATTGCAGAGAAGAGGAGACTGAGGTCAAGGGCTTTCCTCAAATATATACAGAGCCATCGACGCAATATGCTCACGGGCACTCGGCGAATCACAACTGTCGGTTATCGCGGTAGGAAAAGAGGACTTTTGCAGTCTCTCTTCAAGTATCCTTGTCAAGGGCAGCAGTAGAGAGACCTTGTCACTGGAGACAAGCACCGATGCGGCTCTTGCACAGCGCACGGGATGGGTTTTTGAAACGTGACCAAAAATAGCGGCAAGTCGTCGACGTCTGGATGAAAGCAACTTCCAACTCTCTGTCCCTGTGCGCAACGGATCAACATTGATATTGCCAGTCGGGATCGGAATAACCCCGATGCCTGCATCCCGTTGCAACCAGTAGTTTAACACCTGGTCGTTCAAAGGCCGCTCTGAGAAGTTTTATTGTCGCCATTTGCATGTGATTGCGTTTGACATGGTCGTGTACTTCATGCAAAGCATTGTGAGACCATCAGAAACTTTGAAATACAGCACATTTATGCTGTATTTCTACACGATGAGACAGACTAGTGGACGATTCAAGAAGGAGGTCAGCCAGGGGCTCGAGAATATAGCTGATTCGTGGCCAAGCCACAAAGGGGAACAGCATACGCGAAGTCGGCTATGGCCCATGCCAGGACGTCGATCAAATAGTTCTTGACTGGATTAAACAAGTACTCCGTAGCAGCGTCAGCAATTCATGTTGGAATGAGCCAGTAGTTACAAGTGGGTGATGCTGTTGAGGACTATACATGGGCTGAAAGTGTATTTGTACCGAGAGAATTCCCTAACCTGAGCGTTGTGGGTTAGGGAATTAGGGACTACTGAAACTGCACACCTTCCATTTTAACAGCTCGGCCGTACAGCACGGGCTTGCAAGAGGCCGTCGTCAAGTAAATAGAACAGCAAATACTGTCAAGGACTGGCCTTACAGGCGACTGCGTGTAAGCGTACTAGTATTAACTATAAACTTGGAGAGAGAAAAGGGGAAGACGAGGTTCCTCTTCTCACCTTTTCGTGCGGCTATATATATATAGGCCCTAACGTGCATCCGAAGAGTGTCCGACAAGGCACTAACATAGTGCCTTATGTATACTTAAGCTGTGAGCTTAAGTCTTTTTTATAAATACTGTAATGGACTCGAGCTGTAGGCTCGAGTGGGGACAAGGCACTGTGTCGGTGCCTTGTCGGATACTTTTCGGATGTACATTAGACCTACGTGTATATAATAGGTAGAAAAGAGGGGACAGGGAGCTTCCCCTTTCCCTCTTCTCTCTCCTTAAGTTTATAGTTAATAATGTGCTGCTCTATAATATTGTTAGCTCTCTATTTTTGTTATACTTACTACTCTAGCATAATATATTAAGTTTAAGGCTTTTTTTAATATATTAAATACTCTAGATAGCTATAGAGCTATATAACTAGTACTTCTTCTTTTTATATTAAACTTAGAAAACTCTTTAATAGAAAGAAAAACTCTACCTACTTTTATTTTTGCTTTTTAAGCTAGCTCTAGCTTTATACTAGCTAGAATCTACTTATCTTCTATATATATATAAGTATTACTAGCTTTACTAGCTATATTTTAGAGAGATATATAGTTCTTATAAATCTAGCCTGCCTCTAGCTTTATACTAAAACTATCTTGCTTCTACTTATATATTTACTTTATCTTCTAACTTTTAATTGCCTCTTCTCTCTAGAGATAAAGTTTATTTTAGTATAGTATATTGCTTATTGCTTTCTTAAAGGTAAGCTAAGCTAGCTTTATACTATTATATAACTATAAGTATAAATATTTAGTATTTAGCTATAATAGCTTATATATTTAAATTTACTTTACTTTTATTTTATATATAAATTACCTCTTAGCTTTATAGCTAGTAATAGCTAGTATAGCTACTATACTAAATTTAAGCTTTTATTAAATATAAAGCTAGCTAAACTTCTTTTAACTTTCTTCTCTTTTTTCTTTCTTTTTTAACTTCTTAACTTTAATATATACTAAATCTTATTAATATACTAGCTTTACTTACTATCTAGCTAAGCTTAAGCTAGTCTTTACTTAAATTCTAGCTAACTTCTTACTAGAACTATTTTTATTGCTTTTACTACTATTACTATTGCCTTTAAACTAAGTTAAAACTTATTATTTATATATATATACTTTATATCTACTTTATATTAAGCTTAACTCTAGGAAATTACTAATTATTATTAGTAGTTATTATTATATCTTCTTTTTAATTTACTAATATAAAGAAAGTTATAGTAAGTTTAAGCTAGTACTAGCTTATTCTTTACTTAATAGCTAACTACTATAAAGACTTCTAGTATTTTTAAGAGCAAAATAATAATTAAGTTTTAGTTCTAGAAAGTTGCTAGTAAGTCTATATATATCTTTATTTCTACCTTTATTTTAGCTTTAACTTTATATATAGCTTAGTTTCTTTTATAAAGTTATTTATATTTTATATATTACTTAAATCTTAGCTACTACTACTACTACTAGCTTAAAGCTAAATAAGCTTTAAGCTCATTTATACTAAGAAATTATTAAGTTAAAAATAGTATTATACTTTAACTATTATATTTATAATAATTATTATATCTCTATAAGTTACCTTAAAATCTTACTATCTCTAGCTTTAATTTAGCTATAGTATAATATAATATTTAAGACTTATTTTATTTTTCTATACCTTTAAAAGAAGCTAGAAGTAGTCTTTAAGATAATACTATTATATATTATAGTAAGTAGTTTACTTTACTTCTAGCTTAATATTACTAACTAGCTATCTTAGTTTACTTCTTAATTTTTTAAGAACTTTAAAGCCTTAAAGAAAGCTAATAATTATAAGGGAAAGAAGTAAGCTTAATTTAGCTTAATACTAGCTAAGAAATTAAATAATAGTATAAACTACTATAAGGAGATTTTAAGTTAGTTAAAGAAGATTATAATATTAATTACTACTATAGCTATATTTATAGTAGAGTTAGTCTAGATTCTAAATAAGTATACTAGCCATATAGCTAAAATAAAGACTTTACTTATAAGTATAAATAAGCATACTTACTTAGTAGAACTTTAGAAGAAGAAGTATAAAAAGAGGTTTATAAGTAAATCTAGAGTAGCTATAAGTAGGTATAGTAGTAACTCTAGCGCATAGAAATAAGTCTATATAACTTATAAGTCTACTTAGTAGTAGAATTAAGAGGGGGGAGAAGAGAGAGAATAAAGTAAGAGTAGCTTAAGCTTAAGCTATATTTAGCTATAGTAGTAGCTACTTATACTATAGGCTTAATATACTTTACTTTAATAAATTTAATAATTATTTAACTTTATTATTACTATAATAATAAGCTAATATTTAGCTAGTATTACTATAATTCTATCTTTAGTATTTAGTTAAGTAGTTTTACTTTTTACTCTTTAGCTAGTTTAGCTGCTAATTAGTAGTAAGTTATTTAGCTTATATTAATAAACTACTAAGTTAGCTTTACTACTAGCTTAAAGTAAGCTAGAGCTTATTTAACTTCTCTATTATTTTATAGTTAATTTAGTAGTTTTATATCTATATAAAGTAAGTATAATAAAATAATATAGTATAAATTTTTCTTCTTAGTACTATACTAATATAAAGGCAACTTTATACTAAGTACTTACTTATAGTAGAGAAACTTATTTAGCTCTATCTTACTTATTTATAGCTAAATTAATATAGTAGTTTTATACTTATATAGGCTTTTATATAGCTAAGTTATTTATTTTAGTATACTTAGTAGAAGTATATTCTTTATTACTTTTTACT